AAATGGTTAACAATTTGCGTAGAAGCCAATGAAGTTAGTAGGTATGATTGTGCGTATTTTGAAAAACTATCAATTATGGTTAAAAACTTGTTTTGTTCGAAAGTGAATGTGTCTAGATGAATGATTTCGAAAGGTTTAGATGCAGTAGGGGTGATATTCATCTGCATTTTTATAGGGTTCCTTTCATATTTTCCTTGTTGACAAATTTCGCAATCATTGATGTAGGTTTGCACAGAATTTTTCAGATTTGGCCAATAATACAATTTTTTGATTCGTTGTTCGGTTTCATCTATTCCTCGATGATTGGTTTTACTCTCGTGATATGATTTGATGATCTCTGGAATGTCCGATTTTGTTGTGACGTCGATTAATTTGGAAATACATCTTTTGAATTTTAATGATAGCCATTTGAAATTTTTTCTAATTACTTCGCAAAAATGTTGGTACATGTCGGGTTTTTCGAAGTATAAGTAACACTGAACATTTGGAGCAATAAAATCTTTAACAAAGTCAATGACATCTTGATCGAAATTGTTTTGTGAAATTTGGGCCGTGATTCTTTGTTTCTTCTCGAATAGGATGGTTATTCTCGGTTTCGCTGGTGAGTGTAACACTGAGTCTATGATCACCTGATTTTGTCCGTAATTTACTGGAGAGTCAGAAATTTGGATATCGGTTATAGGGTTTTCTTCCGCGTTTGTATGAATCGTTGCGTTGTCATCTTCTGGTGTTTGATTTTCAGGGTCGTCAGTTTCTATATTAGGAGTGTCTTCGTCGGGTTGCACTTGTGTCGAGAGATTGTCGTTGTCTGTCCTTGTTTCTAAACTTTTATTGAAGTCTTCTACGTATCGCAAAAGGTCCTGGAGTTCTGTTTCCTTTGTGTGTAGTTCAATGCGAGAAAGAGCGTCTGCGTTCGTATTCATTTTTCCTTTTTTATATTGAATTTGATAGTCATATTCTTCTAACTTGATTTTCCAACGTCATAATTTTGAGTTTGGTTCTTTCATATTGAAGAGCCATTCTAAAGGTTTGTGGTCCGAAACTATAGTGAATTTTCTGCCGAAAAGATAGGGTCTAAAGTACTTAGTTGCCCATACAATAGCCAATAGCTCTTTTTCTATTGTGCTATAATTCCTTTCCGAGTCGTTTAGGGTACGAGAAGCGTACGCCACTGGTAAATCTTGTCCTATCGTACCTTGAGATAGAACAGCGCCGATCGCTACATTACTTGCATCTGTCGTGAGTAAAAATGGTTTGGTTAGGTCGGGGTATTGTAGTATGGGTTCGTTGATCAGTAAATTTTTGCATGTCTCAAAGCAAGAGGTGAATTCGTCATCATGAACTATACTTGCGCCTTTTTTCAGACATTTGGTCAGGGGTTTTGTTAATTTCGCGAAATTCTTTATAAATCTCCGATAATAACCAAGTAAGCCAAGGAAACCTTTGATTTGCTTAGTCGTTTTCGGTATAGGGTAATTTTTGATGGCTATTATTTTATTTGGATTAGGTTTTACACCTTCTGGAGTCACTACATGGCCCAAGTAGGCGACTTCCTTGCGCAAAAACTCGGATTTGTCGAGCTGAATTTTGAAATTTGCATCTCTCAGACGTTGGAAGACACTTTTAAGTCTTTCGATATGCTCTTGGAGTGAGGTGGAAAAAATAATAATATCGTCTAAATAGACCAGACACTTTTCATTCTGAATACCTCGTAGAATATTATCTACTATTCTCTGAAAAGTGGCAGGGGCATTTTTTAAACCAAATGGCATTCGCAAATATTCATAATGACCATTTTCTGTATTGAATGCGGTCTTAGGTATGTCATTTTCACTCATCTCGATTTGGTGGAAACCACTCGCGAGATCTAGAGTTGTGAAGTACTGACATCTGCCTAACTTATCTAACAGATCAGTGATGTTGGGTAAAGGATATTTGTCATCGATTGTCTTTTGGTTAAGTTTGCGGTAGTCAACAACTACACGCCACTTTTGCTTGCCCGAGGCGTCAATTTTCTTTGGAACGATCCAAATCGGGGACGACCAGGGAGAATTACTGGGCCGAATGATTTTTTGGTCCAACATGCTTTGAATTTGTCGTTCTACCTCTTTCTTATGAACGAAAGGGTATCTGTATGTTTTCGTATAAATGGGGATTTCGTCACTAGTTCTGATGTCATGTTTAATTTTATGGGTGAATGTCAAAGGTGTATTTTCGTAATAAAATATGTCAGAATATTCTTTGCACAGATTTTCAATCATGGATTTTTCTTCGATATTCAGATGGTCTGTACGAATTTTGGATACGTCTAGTTTCGGTTTTTCAGTATCGTCATAGTCGTCAAAGTTATACAACTGAAATTCCTGCAAGTCTTTTTTGTCAAATTTGTCTACCATGATGGGTTCCGAGAAATCGAGTGTGATTTGTTCCGTTGTGTTATTTAGAATTGTCGTCAAAGCTTCTCCGTTTCTCGCTACTGTAAGGCATTGTGGAATTTCGCAGTTATGCAGTTTTTGATGAGGAATTATTATCTCGCCGTGTTCAACACTAGTTCTTATCTTAATCACTTGTTCTGTTCTAGGAGCAACAGATATCAAGTTTAATTCACTTTTTGTTTGGTGATACTGTAATTCAATTCTCGCACGAGGAGTAACAAGAATATTTTTATCGAAATCTAAATTAGCTTGAAGTAGTTTTAAATTATCTAATCCTAGTAGACCTTGAAAAACATTATGAAATTTGAACAAATAAAACTTTAAACATCCATTTACTCTGAATAATGTTGAAATAGGAGCTTGGGCACTATGCTTGTGTGCAGATTTTTGGAATACGGTTGAAACTATAAATGGATCATCTTGAATCGAATTTGGATACAATTTATAGGCAATATCCGGGTCGATAAATGATTTCGTAGAGCCGGTATCGATCAGAATTTTTAAATTATTTTCGGGAAAGACTATATACGGCAATTCACTTGTATTTGAATTATTGAACGAAATTATTTGTGGATTTAAGTTTGTTCGTTTATTGGAGGGTCCATTTGAAAATTTGACTGTTCCGGGTATTCGGTGTTTTGTTCTGGGTAATAAATGTCGTCACAGGGTTCTTCTAAAATGTCTGAATTTTCGTTAGGATAGGTGAAGTCTGGGGGTAATTCGTCGATATGATCGACTTCTGTATTATGAAGTTCTCCATATTGTTTTTGTGGGGCTCTATACTGATTGAATGGGGTAGTTTGAGGACGATTGAATGTCTGTCGGCTTGTTGTACTCATTGGAGTAGGGTCAGGTAGGTTTCTATTCTGATTTGGTCTGAATACGTTTTGTCTATTTGCCGGTTGTCTGAAAACTTGCGAATTTGTGAAAAATCGTTGCGGGGCATTATTGGTATTTGGTCTGATTTGAATGGGTTGAGAAGGAAACGTATTTTGTGTCCTGAAATGATTGCTTTGCGTTTGAGCATTAAAAGGTATTCTATTGTAGTGATTGAATTCATAATTTGGAGGTCTTTGTTGGTTTCTTTGTGAATTTTGAACATTATTAGGTCTAATAGGTGTTCTGTTTGTGAAATTTTGATAGTAATTTATATTTTCTTCCTGAATAATAAACTGTAAAGCTTCATTCATATTACTGGGACGCATACAACGAATTGTTGTACCGAGTGGTTCTCTAAGTCCAGTCAAAAATGTGTTCAAAGTTAGATTATTGTATAAGTTACGTTTTAATAATTTTGCTTCTGCCGTCACTTCGTGACTATCAATATAGCAACAAAGTAAATTCAAAATTTGTAAGCAACGGTCGAAAAACTGTTGAGGCTTTTCACTATGTTGTTGTCTCAACATAATAAGGTCTCTATTCAAACAAGCTTCATCGCGTTGATCTGCAAAATTTCTAGTTAGAGTTTCTTTTAATTCTTGCCAAGTGCTAACGTTTTGAATGTTCACAACTAGCTTGGCATTACCTGATAATTTTCCTATTAACGAATTAAGCAGGTAAATATTCTGAAAGCTATCAATATTTTGTGCATCATAGAAGGTTGAAATCAATTTCTCACAAGTTGCAAGATATCTATTCAACTCGTTTGGGTTTCCGTCAAAATTTGGAACACAGTTCAGATATTCCGGTTTGAATTGATTAGCCATGGTTATTTCTAGATTTGAAGTTTCGTTTAAATTCTCTACTATTGGTAAAATGTTATTTTCTTGATTGCGAGTGGGTTGGGAGTCAATATTTTGGGAGTTTGATACAATGTCTGAGTCAGTTAGAGACAAATTATCAAAAAGGTTTTCGAGTGACATAAATACAATTGACTTACGCTATGAGCAATCCTCTGGTCATTGTCTTACACTATAAAGCGTCTGCAATGGGTTGCCGATTGATGTCCAATCCAATACTGATCGCTCTGCAGAAGGGGACGATGCTGTTCCTCTTCTCGAAAAAAGCTGATGATGTGATCTTCCACAGGTCTTCGATAGACGGGGTGTCCTGATTTCTAAGGAGCCACTCTGCTTCCGATACAACCACGAACTTTTCACAAATGTTCGATTGCCGATAAATCGTTGATACGAAAGGTACACGTTCGATACGTATATCTTCGACAATCCGCACGACTGCGCCAAATAACTTTTGAGACCGAAGGACTTGCTTTTTAAAAACAATTCTTTTATTCAAAATGGACAATGATACATGTGAGATGATGTTAACGGTATAAAAACTAAGTTCTGACTGCCGGCTCAAGTGCGTCTAGGAATAAGGTAGACTATTGTCTAGCTCAGCATCTTCTTCTTAGGCGATGGGGATACAAGCTGCGTCAGCGGAATCCCTGGGATAGGTGGTGACATAATTCCTGTTAAAATGAGAGGACTACTTGATGCAGAACTCCTTGGGAATCCCGACATTGAAGATTTCGACTCGTCAGCAAATTTCAAGTAAACTCTGGTTAACGTACGTTGATATCTAAATTATTATGGGTGAAAGTACGTGAGATAGCCAAGAGATAGCGTACAACCGCAATCCCAGTACCCAAGGAACTCTTGCACATGCTTAGCTGTCAATTTGTCCGCGCGGACTCTTTGTTGCGTCCTGTCTCTTTGCGTCCTGTGCGCTCGAGTGCCAAAATGACATTAACATTTGACATTAATGACATTGCCGAAGCTTGAAGTGGAAACTTTCAACAAGTCAACAAAGAAAGGCGAAAGGCAATAAATGTACAAAAATTAAGATTATTTATATTGATGGTTGATCGTTGGTGGGATCACTGAATCCTCTTACATTACAATTACAGTTAATTTAAGATCCCATTTAATTATATTTATTAAATAATATGTATGAACAAGAGGACGGTGAGTATTACATGTAATAACCTTATAATATATTCTGATTATAATGGTTTAATTTATCTCTAGACCAATTCGAAGATGAGGATTCTGAAGAAATTAGTGCCGAACTCTGGCAAGAAGCCTGTTGGATAGTAATTAACGCATATTTCGATGAAAAAGGTTTGGTTCGCCAACAATTAGACAGTTTTGATGAATTCATACAAATGTCTGTTCAAAGAATTGTGGAAGATTCTCCACAAATCGACCTTCAAGCTGAAGCACAGCATACATCCGGGGAACTTGAAAATCCTCCAAGATACTTATTGAAATTTGAACAAATCTACTTATCTAAGCCAACACATTGGGAGAAAGATGGAGCACCATCACCTATGATGCCTAATGAAGCCAGATTGAGAAATCTCACATACTCTGCTCCTTTGTATGTTGATATTACAAAAACAATTGTGAAAGAAGGGGAAGATCCTATTGAGACACAACATCAAAAAACTTTCATAGGTTAGATTCTTCCAGTTTTTAAAATACAAAAAGTTATGGTGGATTTATGCAGCTGTCCTAATTGGAAGTCTTATGCAAAGTGCAAGTCCGAAGTCATAAGTGTTGAGAAATTAAACATTGACTCATGCATGAATCCTAAGAAACACCTAATCATAATTAGTTATTTTTGTATCTAGAGAGCAAAATGCTACTTTGGTGATCAATATCTGATTTTTTTAACAAGGTGTAGCCTAGTTGAAAAAATAGTCCAGATGGCCAAAGTATTTCTCACTAGAGTTGCAAACAACATTTTTTCTACAAACGTCAAAAAATATAGTTCTGAAGTAAAAATATGCTTAGCTTGATATAAAAAATAGTGTTGAACTTGCTTAAAAGGCCTCCCCCCATCCTCCCTAGGTATGCAGGATGTTCCACAAACATAATAGGAATTACCTTTCATGCGCTCCAAGAGATAAAACAAAGTTATTGTTGGATATTCATAAATAAATGATTTCATGGATGTTTGCTGGATTGAGGACCATCAAGTTGAAATATGAATATCTCATATATTTCACATAACAATGCTCAAAGTAGGTACTTCATGCACTGTTTTACTTAACACATTGTTTTGTGCAAGGTATCATGGTAACATAGGAAACTGAAAAAAAAAGTGTCACAATTTGTTATCAATGGGCTAACGTTGTCATTTTTTGACGTTTGTAGAAAAAATAATATATCTCATTGGATGTTTTTGAGCAATCACATTCCATGATTCTTAAATTCAATAGATAACCTCACAAAAAGATCACATGCATCTACCTGTTCATTCAAAACACAAACCTAGTTACCCACCTATTTCCTATGATCATATAATAATTTGATTCTTATGGCCTGTTTCTGGTAATCCATTGATATATTGTACCTATTTTGAATAAAAGGAATACACCAAATAGAATCGCATTATACAATTGAGAGAATATCTGGGAGAATATAGAAGGAGTGGTATAGTTATTGCAATTGTGAATTTTTCTATTATCCTATAATTTAATTACTGGCACTTGTATGCAGTTGATTTTGATAAACACATGAACACAAATAACATCCATGAGCTGTCTGATGAGTGATAAAGCATAAATGCTGATCATAATAGTTGAATTCTTGAGACTAGGACTTATGACTTACAACTTGTTCATGGATATTCCAATATGAATCTGATCATTGAAATGTCTTATGACTTACAATTTGCAACTAGGACTTGTGATTGATTATGATCACTTGATTATAATTGCTGTATAAATCCACCATTATATTCTATTGAAAGATTTGATTCATACATGTAAGCTCATTATTGGAGAGAATCATGCACCTGTAGGTGGTGCTAGAAAATTGTCAACAGATGATGTGAAGGTGGTTAGCTGCAAAATTATTATCTCATAAGTGATCAATGTAAATTGAGTATTTTAGAAATGAAAACAAATTCTTTAGAGGGCTTCACATCAATTAGATTGTTTGAAAACTAATAACAAGCTCATAGGCTCCAAATCAGTTCAATAATGGTTTGTTTAGAGGCTGCCCACTTAATGATTTTCTCCAATTCATTCAGGAAAACTAAAGAAGAAATGAATTCAAAGCAATCCTGGTTGTAGTAAAACATGCAAAAATATTGATACAAAATTATATTTTGACTTGATGAGAGCATGTTCTGATATTATGGAACAGTACTGCCTAGTATATTTTATTGTTCTGATTTTACTGAAATTTAGAGGCTAAAAGTTCACTGTAGACCACTGGTGCAGAAATGGTGATGTAGTCATAGTGCCAGTATTCATCAAATTTCAGGTTATGCCTTTGAATCTTTATAGGTATGAGTTGTTATAAATCATATATTATTATTTTCAAATACTTTGGGAAAATGTATGAAGTCAAACTGGGAAGATCTTATATTGGCAGTAGACTTAGGAGTACTGGAGCCTGGTGTTTCTGATGAATCAGAATCACATATTTGGAATCACTCCATCCATAATTTGAATGTGAGTAAAGAAGATAAAAGAATGATAAAAATGAAAGTAGCCGGTTTATTTTGAACAGTCCAGCTCTTCAATAAGGAGACCATCTAATGATATTACCCTACTTGAAGTTACCTATGTCTGACCAGCAATGAAGAGCTTCAAGCCTAAGTGAATAATGACATAGTTGACAGTACTACCTTGCATTTTGTGAACTGTACAAGCCGAACATAATACAATTCCAGCATTCTTTGTTCCTTGGTTCCCTGACTATATTTTGTTGGAAATTGCACAGGCTTAGTGTGCCATATTGGATTTTGAGTGATGTTACATTATTTCTGATTATTCTCGGCAAGCCCTTTCATTTTCATACCCATATTGCAGAAGTGCATGAATAACAACTATTCCACCATCACGGTAGTTCCGCCATATTGGATTTAGAATAACATTACAATTTTTTCCCAGTTACTCTCAACGAGTTTTTTCATTTGATACCTATATTGTAAAAGTATATTGAAAATAACTATTCCGCCATCTTGGATGGTCTGCCATATTGGATCTAGAATGACGTCACATTATTTTCCAAGTTGCTCTCGGCGAACCTTTTCATTTGAAACCCATATTGTAGAAGTGAATTAAAAATAACTAGTCCGTCATCTTGGATAGTCCGCCATATTTGATTTAGAATGACGTCACATTATTTCTTGAGTTAGTCTCAACAAGCCCTTTCATATGATACCCATTTTGTAGAAGTGCATTAGAAATAACTATTACGCTGTCCTGGATGGTCTGCATTATTGGATTAAAATAACGTCACATTATTTTTTGAGTTACTCTTGACAAGTTCTTCCATTTGATACCCATATTGGGGAAGTGTATTTAAAAATAACTATTTCGCCATCTTGAATGGTCCGCCATATTGGATTCAGAATGACGTCACATTTTTTTTTTAGTTTAGTTACTCTCAACGAGCCCTTTCATTTTATACCCATATTGTAGAAGTGTATTGAAAATTACTATTTCGCCATCTTGGATGGTCGTCCCTATTGAATTCAGAATGACGTCACATTATTTTTCGAGTTACTCCCAACGAGCCCTTCCATTTGACACCCATATTGTAGAAGTGCATTAAAAATAACTATTCCGCTATCTTGAATAGTCCCTCATATTATATTTAGAATAACTTCACAAACCTTATCATGCATTGTCAAAATAAACGTGTATATAAAATTTCAGCTCAATCGGTTGAAGATATCTACTTCAAAATTGAGTTGAAATATTCCACCGGAACTAACATACAATAAATCCATGCATTGCAAGTTAAATAAAAGCTTTTAATAATAATAAGAACCAGCAAAACATAACATCGAACATTGAAAGTTCATAGGTTATGGTTATGTTTTGCTGCCAGTGTACCAGTACTGCCAAAATTGTTCCAAAATGAGATAAAAATTCAAAGTTACTGCTACTGTAGAGCCTTCCTAAATTGCTTACTGTTCCTAAATTGCTCACTGTGGCCAGTAATGTAATTAATATCAGAACATGACATGAGTCCTACTTTTAGAATATGATATGACTTCTGCATTTTAATATTTTTTATAGGCAAAATTCCCATTATGTTACGATCCACTTATTGTCTCTTGAGTGGCTTGACTGATCGGGACTTGACTGAGTTGAATGAATGCCCCCTAGACCCTGGTGGCTACTTCATCATCAATGGCTCTGAGAAAGTCCTCATTGCACAAGAGAAAATGGCAACCAATACAGTATATGTCTTCTCAATGAAAGATGGCAAATATGCTTACAAGTCTGAAATTCGATCTTGTTTGGAGCACAGTTCTAGACCAACATCTACATTATGGGTGAATATGATGGCCAGAGGTGGTCAGGCAATCAAGAAGGCAGCTATTGGTCAACGTATTATTGCCATCTTACCATACATCAAACAGGAAATTCCAATTATGATTGTTTTTAGAGCCCTAGGTGAGTGCATGAAGTACCTACAAATTGTTTTCAATGTAGTTTGCATTATCATTCCTCTTGATATAAATGAGATATAAATGCTATGTCAGGATCTTGTAACACTAACTGAAACATTACAAAAGCTAAAGCTGATGTGATCAAAACAAAAATGATGTTCTAGAATATGATGGAAAGGTATAGCCAACTCCAGCTGTGGCCAGGTATGGATAAAAAATAGTAATAGAAGTACATGTTTCACTCAAAATAAAAGTGAGCAGTGTGCATATGGGGTCTGCAGTGCATTGTATATAACTGTATATAATTATCATGATCCTTCATATCACTCACTACAAGGATATTGATATCTTGTTATATATGCATTACTTTTGTGGATAAAAAATTTCAATAATTGAAGGAAAAGAGAGCTGACCTCATGAATAATTGATCACAGTCTAATAAATAAGTTAATATGGCAGATTACTTGTAAATGTTCAAGAAATTTGCAATTTTTAGCTATGCAATGCTTTGTGAAATTCCATTCTGTTATTTTGTACAAACACACAGTTTATATTTCAGGACTATTTGCACCAGTAAAAAGTTTCCCTCAATAAATCATTTAGTAGCTTTATAATTTCAAATTTGAGGTATTGTGAATGATCATCAATTAGAGCATGAGGTAAATATCTGTTAGATATATTTTTATAAAGTTGGCAACACTGTGGTCGACTGAATGAATGACATTTGACAGCGTCTGTCTGTGTCACTGATGGCAGTGGAAGGGACAAGGAAGCAGTGAGAGAGAGGGAGGAGAATAATAAAAATCGACATCCTGAACTGAGTGGCTTTATTTTCCAAAATATACATCAAACGAGCAAACTACTGCTTGCAATCTTCTGGCTAAATCTTTGTATTTCCTCTTTTTGGGGTCTGTTTGACCCGACATTTCATGAGATATTTTCAATTCTGTCATACTTTGTTCTCTTAGGATACCTTTTAGAATTTTCATATGGATGGGTTCTTCCCATGGAAAGCCTCATTAGGCTTCTGTGCCAGCCTTCAACTGCATTATTCGTTTTTTGAACGAACAACACAACAAATGGTTGGAGATGGGTTTTTCGTGTAGGCCTCCTTCTAATCCAGGTATCCTCAAAATAATCAATCATAGGTTGTGCTTCTTGTGGAATCAAGTTTCTTTCATATATGTCAAAGACCTTAACCACAAAGGTTTCTGGAACGAATGGGATTGCCGATAGCAATTTGATGCAAAATTGCAATTCAGAATCTGTGCCCTAGCGAGTTTTGAATCCAGATTTTCGAATTTGTCTATCTATCAATACATTGTTTGAAATGATAAAAACAACCGTATTGTTTAATGTTCAGAAATACCTTTTCGAAACCATTTTTGTGGATCTCTCCAAGGCATTTGACTGCATCGATCATAATATTTTGCTAGATAAACTATATAAATACGGTATACGCGGTAACTCCTATAATTGGTTCAAATCATACCTTAAAGATAGAAAACAAGTAGTTGAACTATCATCTGAACAGGGTGCAGTTAGGTCGAGTGCCTTGGAGATATCCATGGGTGTCCCGCAGGGCAGTATCCTGGGCCCAATACTTTTTGTAATTTTCGTGAACGACATAAAAAATGTAGTAACTGATTCTTCCACCAAAATTTTAAATTATGCTAATGACAATAACTTTTTACTTAGGGGTCCCAATTTTATTGATATCGTTGAAAAAGGAACGTTGATAATGAGGAGAACAAAAGATTATTTCAATGAAAATAAGTTGATGATCAACAACGAAAAAACGGATTGTATGTTGCTGAGAATCAACAATATTATTGAAAAGCCACAATCTATCAACATTGACAATCAAAATATCATATGTAACAACACTGTCAAATTTTTAGGGGTCTATATAAACGACAAAATGACATGGACAACTCAGGTAGAAAATTTGTGTAATAAACTGTCTTCAATTACATATGCTATAAGAGTGCTGAAACACAATGTTGACCAAAGCACTCTGATCACAGTTTATTATGCAAATTTCTATTCAAGAATGAAATTTGGGATTGGGACATGGGGAGGTTGCGCGGACTTGGATAAAGTTTTTATATGCCAGAAAAAGGTAGTGAGGATAATTTTCGATTTGAAGATAGATGGCTCATGCCGGGGAATATTTAAAAAAAACAACATGTTAACTGTACCAGCCTTGTTTATTTATGAGGCTATCAAATTCCAGACCACACATGAAAATCACTTCAGCAGTCACAAAATGAATCATGAACATAACACGAGACTAAAAAACAACTATAGTTACCCAATCCACAAAAAGTGTATTTTCGAAACAAGTCCACTGTACAATGCAATAAAATTTTATAATAATCTTCCGGATGAGATAAAAGCTATTCAAAATTCCAAAAGATTCCTTGGCTCGGTACGGAATTACTTCCTCAGGATGGAGCCATACTCAGTCAGTGATTATTTTTAATCTGTGGTAATGTTTTATTTCTATGCTTATTTTTTTTTATTGAATGTTTATACTAGATTTTAAACTGTATGTATGTGACTTACTTCTCAGACGCGTGAAACAACTCTGTAGAAATGAATAAATTATCTATCTATCTATCTATCTATCTATCTATCTATCTATCTATCATTGCTATTTCGAAATCGGTGGTGACGGACTCTAAAGATAATGAAGTCATTGAATTTTTCACTTTCTCAAAAAATGTCTTGTAGGTGATTTCGATTTTATTTGACAGCAGGGCGTATACCAATGGTAATGTTATGTTTCCAATCTCACCATGAATAGTGAATAATTAGTAGAAGATTGACGGTACGGTTTTGAAAGTACCATCTATAAAGCAGTTGTTACTTCTTGATAAATGGTCAATATTAGACGGCGTCGCAAATATTATCATCCTTCTATCTTCTGCACCAGAGTTGAATAATAACCAATTTTCACCTATTGTCAAACTCTGTTCGACTAGTCGGAACTGTCAGGCCTCTATTTTCTTTCTGTCTGATATGTCGAATAGTTCTATTCATACTACTTATAGATGGTAGCTGAGGAAGTGTAGGTTCACTAATGGTTTCGGCAACATTCTAAATTAGCATTTGCGGAAAATCATTACTTCTTGCATCTTGCTTCAATTTGTTCAATCTTGTGGCTAATTCGAATTTCGATGACGTTCCTGTATCGTTGTGATCATTTTTCTCGGTTGCTATCCCATCTACACTGATAGCTGTTTCTTTACATCCATTGATTTTCCATTGCCCACATTTCCAATAACGAACAGAGAACTCTTGTATGGTCTTCCATGAAATCTTGCGGAGAGGGTGATAGAAAAAACTTTCAAAAATTTCCTATCGTGTATTCCCATAAAAAAAGTTAATTTTTATGGGCTTCGAAATGATTTGACTTTCAAAAATATCCATTCCACAAGATTTTATGAAAAACACGAGCAAAGTGCTCCACAAGAGGTCTGAGGAAACATTATAAATACTTTGTATTTCATGCTGCATCATAGAACATACCTTTACGTACCTGATTTCAATCCGGAAAATAGACTTTTACAGGATAGGTGCATGTAATATTTCATTACGTGCTACTATCCCGTAATGAAATTTTACCGGATTGTAAATATTGAAAACTCAGTTATGCGTCAAAAGCATGAATACATTAATTAAAAATTCAACAGCAAAACAATACACAGAAATTACTTATTGCTAATATTAATATCAACCGTTAAATTTTCGTTCCCATGAATATGGATACCAGGAGCTCCATTGGATGAATTATTTATTAGGGAGTTGCTACTTGCTGATACATTCCCATTTTTTTGTTGTAGCACTTCAACAAAGTTTTCTCCATGTTGAATCATGCGAGATTCCCTGTTTTTCCCCTCGATCGAATCCTGGATATATTTTTCCGCCACCGAAGAGCTCTTCCATCCCCCGTGTCTCTTAAGTACCAGAAGATCGGCTCCAGCATCAGCCAGTATTGTGGCAGATGTTCTTCTAAAGCAATGCCCTGTAAACTTATCTGCTTCAGGCAGCCCCAGAAATGTCGCTATTTTTTTGGGAGCATCTGCAATAGAATGAATGCCTACCCTTTGAGAAATGCACCTGCCTTTACGATATGTAATGAAAAGGTCCTCTAGGCCTACATTCTTCGGTCGTAATTTTAAATATGTCTTATACTTTTTTAAATAATCCTGATTAATCACGGTGAATACTCTTCTTTGGTTTGTTTTGGTTTGGGGAATAGTTACGACTAGCTGTGTTCCAGTATCCTCTATATCCTTCACTTTCATTGCGTAAAGCTCCTCCCGACGGCATCCACCCGTGATTCCAAACATAGCTATGACCTAAAAAATCATCGATTTTAATATTCACGGCTCAACTTTTTTTTTCTATGAATGACCTCACCTTGATCAAAAGATATTCCTTATCAGGTGCTTGCGTCATGAACCGGTTCAGTTCTTCCAATGTCAAAATTTTCGACTTAATTGGCTGATATCCAACTGCTTGTTTCTTTAAAAAAGCTTACAATTTAGGAAATGTGGATATATCCAAATTTTCGTGGACTAGCAGCATCGACTTAACCATTGAATACTCTGACCAGAGTGACAAGCTTTTGAATTTGTTTAACTACAAAAATGTAAATACTATAATAAACAAAACTTGAACTATATTTTTTATTATAAAACTCAAACTGCCTTGAAAGTTAGATGAAAACTCACCAAGTCCAAAAAATAAGCCATCATTACATCTTCATTCACAAAATTCACGTTGCTGTCCATTTTCCATTGACAAAAAAGCTTGAATTCTTTGTCATAACGGAGTGACGATTTGTTGGGTATCAGATGCCCCGTAGCTTCATGTGATTTATGCAAAATATCCTCAGGAATGAATAATTGATCTTGAGCTGTGTCCTGAGCCATTTCGTGAAAAACGCGTAATGACAATCACTGACAGTATTATTATGTTTATTATGTTTCTAAGGAAACTACCTGCCAGCTATCTTGGGAGTGAATGCAAAATTCTGAAATTACTGGACGCAGATAAATAGATTAATATTTCATTTTTCACTGTTCATTTTTGTTTTTTAGCAGTATGAAATAAAGTGTTATACGTCAAACGTCCGGTAAACTTTTACAGTACTCGTTTCGAAATTCCGGACTCGGCTTGCGCCTCGTCCGTAAACATCTCACTCGTACTGTAAAAGTGTACTTACCGGACTAGTAACGTAAATATCTATTATTGTGTTGATTCATGATATGAGTTGGTTATTATTGAAACTAAGATGATTCGACTTTCAAAAATACTCAGTCGCCGCTCAGGAGGGGTGAAGAGAAATTATAGAAACTATACATCGTGTTTTTCCATGATATGAGTGGATGTCTGTGACTGGTGAGATGATTCAACTTTTGAGAGCATCCATTATGCGAATTTTAATGAATAAACACAGGGATAAAAAAAGTGCCCTCCAGGGGCATATCTTATGGAAGTAATGTAGGAGCGCACTATCTGTGCATCAAAATCGGGCATGTGCCGAATTGAAAATATCACTCGTATAGCAAAAAAATATTACAGCCTTGTTCGGTAGTTAGTGCTAATCCTCGATTAAATTATGATTTTGTTGACAATTGAAAAACATTTGACGACGCGATTTGTTTGTTTGATTGACTTTTAATTTGAATCATGTACGCCCTCACAGGGACATAGGGCCCCTTCAAAATTAACCTAACCCTTTTAACCGGCGGTGCTTTGCACACAAATTTTAATCATGATTTTCTCGTAATGATTTTTTCATTCCCACGACCTTTGGTTTGTAGCGATTGTAGGCTGATGTTGGACACATGACTGTCCGAAACATGTTCCCTTAATAATCTTTTGATTATTGAACGTTGTGGAGATGATTTTGTGTTTTTTAACCCTCCTTCTATTACTTTTCAATTCCATATTTTTTTAGATTTTTCGGTCGATTTTAAGGTGGTAAAATTATCAATATTGCCACGGTAATTTTCCAAACGGTTAGAAGTTAATCGCAAAATAAAAACTGACGCCAGATGAGTTATTTCACCTGAAGAAACTACTGTGTTAGCGAAACATGTCATGTGGTTAAGAATTTTGTGGAAATCTCATCGTTTGTGAAGTTCTATACATTTACTATACTTCCCATCACAAAAAACATAATCCATTTACGCTGTTTATGTTAGATGTTTCAAATCGATTCAACGGAAATCCAGACTATCTACACTCTATTCTAATTTGGGCTAGTTTCCATTTGAGAGACTGATATTTGTGTTTAATGAACTTCGACCTCAACTTTCTCTCTTATTATTGAGACACATTATACAGTGCTTTTCTTAAATGGCCCCCACTTCCATTTTTTGAACGGGTGAGCTGAAAAAATTGGAACTTCGGATTGTGAAATTTACGCATGAAAACTATATTTTGGAGTAAAATTGACAGATGAAAATTTCAAGATGGCGACTGGGCGCCATCTGGGGAAGAAAATTAAATGCGACACATCATTTTGATGCTCCAGACGAATACTCCACAACCCTAGAATATAAAGTCAATATCTTCACATACTACAAAATGGCGGATAATACTTTCTCAGGTCGTTGGATTTGCAGTCGAGGTCCTACAGAATTGCCAGCTCGCTCGCAAGATTTGACACCTTTAGACTTTATTATAGGGCTTCAATATTGGATGGATCTACTACAGAGAATGATAATTATTTGTAGAAATATCAACGTAACTGTGTTATTATGTCAAGAAGTTCAAGTAAACCCTTGTCACGAGTAGAACATACGGTATATCAGTAATTTCGAACCATGAGGGTTTTATAAACATAAAGTAAATCGAATCATCCGTTGACATTGAATTATAAAAACTGACCAAGGAACACTCATGAGAAACGTGCATTTCTAATAAAATGATGTATATAAATATTGGATGTGAGGGTTCCGAAGTTAGTCTGGTCTGGGGCTACTCTTGACTTGACAAGAGCTCGTCGTAATGGTCATCATAATGTAAGTTGTTATAAGGTCTTTATATTCATTTTTGTTCATTCATATTTTTCATTGCTACCCATAATGTTTCATGCTATTATAAATATTGTTATGTTTGAATATAGTCTCGTACTTTCAGTTACCCCTAAACTATTAGTGCCTATTTGAATATTACCTCTCGCAAACTATTAAGCCAAGCAAACCCCTTATAAATCGATATGGATGGATTAAACAACTCTTTTGTTGTGACATGGTGGAAACAACCCTTTTATCGAGACATGGTGGTAAAACACCAACTCTTATATCGTGACACCCTTTTGGCAATCTTCTGAACTGAACTCAGCTTATCTCCTCAAATAATGAAGTTAAACGTCGATGTATTGAGGTATCATTGAATATTTTAGGGTCTTGAATTATTCGTCAGGAGCTTCAAAGGGATGTGTCACAAGACCCCCTTTCCATTTTTTCCCAGTTGGCGCACAGTCGCCATCTTGCAATTTTATTTTATCAATTGTGGCCAGCGTAGCCTCGTGGTTAAAGCGTCAATGTTCTATCCACGTTGGATTGCTGGCAGGTGGGTTCGATCCCCACCACGACCGCAGACATTTTTCTGATGGCCTAAGAATGTGTTTGGGATCACACGTTTAAAGGTAAGACCCCCGTCATTAATTGCTCGCACATGTCTCTTGAAAACTTCGGAGGGTTGCTCGTATGGGGGCAACCGAATGAGGATAAGAATAATTTTTAAAACAATTACACTCCAAACGATAGTATTCATGCATCAGTTTCATTATGTCATGCTTGAAGTTTTTCAATTGACCCGTTCAAAAAATAAAGGTTGGGGGCATTAAAGAAAAGCACTGTATGTTGGTTACTACTATAATATTTAATTTTTTTATGTAGGTTTTGTAGCAGATCGTGACATTCTGGAACACATCATCTATGATTTCGACGATCCTGAACTTATGGAAATGGTCAAGCCTTCCCTTGATGAAGCTTTTGTGATTCAAGAGCAGAATATTGCTCTGAACTTTATTGGTGCTAGAGGGGCCAGGCCAGGTGTCACTAAAGAGAAACGAGTAAAGTATGCAAGGGAAATCCTGCAGAAGGAAATGTTGCCCCATGTTGGTGTATCTGATTTTTGTGAAACGAAGAAAGCTTATTTCTTAGGGTAGGTGGAATTGTTTCTTGCATATTTTGAGTGGATAAAATTCCCCCAACTATTTTTATCATTCTGTAGAAAATGTTTTTATTGTACTTTGTATATTATTATTTCAAAGTTTAACTACATTCTTATCTATTTTTTATATCACCCTAGTTGTAAACACCTGTATAACCAAATTATTTTTTCAGATACATGGTGCACAGACTTCTGTTAGCAGCATTAGGTAGACGAGAACTTGATGACAGAGATCACTATGGAAACAAAAGATTGGATCTTGCTGGGCCACTTTTAGCTTTTCTATTCCGAGGGTAATCTAAAGAATATTCAAAATTGATTATTTTTCATTAAAATTTCGGGTCGGTGCTTGCGTAATTCGTGCTCGTACTGAGTCGCGTACACGGTTGCCAGTATTTCGTCAAAGTCGCCAAAACAACAGGAAGTTGTCGTCCGAATTATATTCTCATTTGTTTTCGTATCAAAACAATGCCTGTTGATTGATTAAAAACAAATTCATATTTTGATGTGAATAAATATGAGGAATAGTTGACTCATAGAAATATTTCTACGATAACAGAATAAAAAGCAAACACACGTGAAAAATATCAATATGTGGACCTTATTCTGATTATATCCTGTAACCGCAAAAATATTCATATAAGGATATAACCTATGTACGATTCAGTACAATCGGCGTCAAATCGTTCACAATGAAAATACTTGTTAACCGAGATACCGTAAAGAGGAACAGTGCTGCCAAATAGAAAATGAAAGTCATTGCTTCTTTTCAGACATGCATATTTGTATCGCTATTGTGGCTGCGCTATTCAATAAAATACTTATTATAATGATTTCAAAGGTATGATTAGAGATTTGTTTATGGTGAACAATAATGACGTCCAGAGTATGACAACTAGACGTCAGTATATAGACGTCGTTTTTCGGGAAGAGTAATCACGATATTATGACGGTTATTTGAATCACGTTAAATTGACGTAATAATAATCGACGTCATAATAACGTCCCATATTGGTTACACTTCTCTGACCAATATTGACCTGAAATCGACGTCATAAAAAAACTTCACCAGCGGCTTCGACGACCAAAAATAGGTAGGAAGGTTTGAATGAACATGAGCCGGAAAATGTCTCCTAGGGGAGCTATAGCTCTCTCAAAGGGAGTGCCTGAAGATGATATTTCTTGAATATGTCCGAAACGCCATGTGATAAAGGATTCAATTCGGTACAAGATATAAACTTTCTATGCCCAAAGGCTGTGATCATTCCAAAATTACAATCAGCAATGTATAATACAAGATGGGACTACATTAACTATTGCTCACACTATTTGAATGCATAATTTTCGACAATTCAATCTCAGTACGCGCGGCACTACCGTGTTTATTGAGAAGAACTTGAAGCTAAAGGAGGAAGAAGTGATTGCTTTAGCTATCTAAGGAAGACATGAGATGTCCGAGAGATTTAATGGAAACAAAAACACATAACCTGCAAATTTTCTGTGAAATTAAAAAATACAAGGCTTTGATAATGAAAAAGCATAACAAATATCTTGAAGTGGTAAAAGTGCGAACGAAAAATTTTTAACATATCGATAATGAACCGTTTTCTCTATTCCATCTTATGCCCAATGAAAAATATAAGAAACTTAAAAAAAAAATATGATATCAAAGATGACAAAAACCTATACAGGAGAGATAACATCGCTGACTATATTTAAAAATTCCTTCAAGATTTATATTCAGAATCTACTACAAATTCGAATGCTTTTATTTTCTTTCCATTGGACATAGATGGTTTAGAGCTTGTATCGAATTGCATCATTTCATCACATTGCGTTTCGGAAATATTCAAGACATTTCATCTTCAGAAGCCCCCACTCAGGGTACCGCAGCTCTCCTAGGAGTCATTTTTCCACTCATGTACATCGTGACTGTTCTTCCTATTTTTGGTGAAGTTTGGCAGGCTAATTTCGGGACACCTTGTTACATATAAGCAAGGAAATTTATGAATTTTGGGTTTTATGAGAGTTTTTGTGCAATCATCTTGGTATTTGAGTCCTGTCATTAGTCTGCCAGCATTTCTCTGTAAAGAGAACATGAAATTACCAATGGGCACACTGTGCTCAAGCCATGATGCAATAAAGTACTTGAAAGTGGTACAGTCCAAAATATAATGATTTCAATAGATTGATTGTCGTTGATGCCAGATTTCTAATCACAAAGGTGCTACTATGTAGTCGTTAGGCTAGTTTATTTAGGTAGTTATCTCCATCCTCACAATAAGGAAATCAAATGGTTGTAAACCCAATATGCATTGGGCTCTAAATGCTAGTATGGGTTAGTAGGATATTTAGCCGTGAGACCAAAGATCGTACTAGTAGCCAGTCTAGAACATGATGGTTTGAATATTATTGTTAAATTTATAACTTCTGAAATTTCAGGTTGTTCAAAAATTTGATGAAAGAAGTAAGAATGTATGCACAGAAGTTCATTGATAGAGGCAAAGATTTTAACCTTGACCTTGCCATTAAGACAAAACTCATCACTGATGGTCTTAGATATTCTTTGGCTACTGGTAACTGGGGTGATCAGAAAAAAGCTCATCAGGCCAGAGCTGGAGTATCACAGGTATTTCAAGATGACTTATTGATTTTTTTCGACATAAGTTTTGTAAATGTAGCACAAACATTTATAGGAAGTATAAAAAACTAGTTATTTATGCAACAAGAGAGTAAAGTGGTAAAAAAATTGACAAACGATGCCTTAGGTGGAGTGCAACAGTTGCAAACTGTAAATTCTCCTACAATGACAAGAAGACTGGGTTTCTTCATTTACTATTCTGATTGTGTCTATGAATGCCTTCATAAGGCTGTTCCGTCTAAACCGCACATATACCTATTTGGAGTCCTAAAAATGACACTGATCTGAAAATTTGTATACAGGGGTTATCGATTGGGTCCTGTTCAATGAAAAAATTTTCAAGATGGCGGCAATTCTGGTCATACCAGAAGTGGACATCAACTTCACTATTTTAAATGGAAAGCTATATTTTTTAATGCTTTTATGTTATTGTTTTGATGATCTTCATTTTTGAAAAAATATTGATGATTCAAACTTGGTCAAAACATTCAAATCACTCTGTATAATATTTGGTTAAATTCAGAATGGATAAAGCTTCCACACATGTTAACACATAACCAGAATCTTATTAAAAAAGTAAGTTGATGATAGTTCTACAAATCCGACATGCACGTAGATAAATTAATACCTTCATGTTAAATCTCATCAAATTATTGCAACCGCATAAATAACGTTTTTCACTCATATAATTCGTTCATCTTCTTAACCATTCCATCAAAATTCAATTTTCCCTGATTTTTCGTCCTTTGCATTGTGTTTTTAACTGCTTTCCTCTAAAAATCAGATTCCATGCTGGCAATTACTCTAGGTATTTGTGGAATGCTTTGTTATTGTTAGGTACATGAATAGCATGCGGTTTGGGGTCACCGATATTAGCTATAAACAACATATAATGATAAATATGGTATATGATAAATTAACAATAGACGTAATTAAAATCGACTTTGTATGGCGGGCTGGACGTTTTGTTTCAATTTGCGGCGGAACTCTCTTTAAATCTCAGGGTTTTTTGATTTGGGTCCACACTGTATATATATTTGCAGCAAAGAAACGAGCAGAGTCAGACAAACCAGTTTTATTATTCCTAAACTTGCTAGGTATCTGCAAACTGACAGAAAACTTTAATTTCGTCGCGTGACTGATTCGCAATTATTAGAAGAAAGAAAAATAGGAACTTAGCGGAGTCCAGTACTTAATTGATATATCGAAGATTGTTATAAAGATGTTATTAGCATCAACTCACCTGACAGATCAGGCACACTGCTACCTACTCAAATAAACGTATTTCAGCGCAGTTGGAAACCACAAAATTCTGTTCAATAGCAAACACTTCGCTAGGTATAAAAGGAATTAATAGTCGTAGGTGACACTCTCTGATACGCAATCCCAAATTCACTCAGCACGCGAAGAACGACTATTTCTTGAAAATATGAATATACTTTTTTCGACGCTCTAAATAAAAACTGGCAGAGGTACCACAAGGCAAATAGTAAATAGCTCCAGTGCAGTACTCGTGGGGTGATGATAAGCCCAAAACCAGAAATGAAAAGGACGAAATTGGAAAGTTGGATACTACCCTAACTCAGTTTCGCTACATCTCGCCCCCCCCTAAACTTGGTGCCGCCCTAGGCGGTGCGCTAAGTTGGAGAACAAAATAACTTCAAATGGGAAGCGTGAAAAATTCCCCGTTCTCTATCATCCTGGTCGTTTATTAGAACATAGGTGGCGTCACTAACCTTTTTCTTAATACGATAAGGTCCTGTAAAGAGTAATAGCATTTTTTTCGTCTCGGACTTTATCGCTGATGATACATTATTTGCACGAAGTAAGATTCTGTCACCCGGCTGGAAATCGTAAAATGGTTTCCCGGGATTGGCTGCAGCACGACGCGCAGCTTTTCCTCTTAACGTGGCTTCAGCTAAGATCAATTTTTCCTGGACAGGTATTTCCAAACCCTGATAACCTTCAGGCAGGTTGAATTTACCTTTTAACAACCTAGGGCGAGAAATGCCGGATTGGAGTTCGCAAGGAGCGAACCCGGTACTCTCGTGGACAACCGAATTCAACAGTTCAATAAAACGGGGCACCTCCCAAGCCCACTTGGAATGTTGCTCGTGGCAATAAGTGCGCAGCAAGCGGCCAAGTTCGCGCATAACCCTTTCCGATGGATTGGCACAAGGGTGGCGCACCGAACTATATACAATCTGAATACCTTGAGCTTGTAAAGTTGTTTTCCAGCTACGAGATGTGAACTGAGTGCCGTTATCATGTAAAACTCGTTTAGGTATTCCAAAAGCGGGAAAGTATTCTTTCACCAGGCGATTCAACATAGCCTGAGTATTCGCTTTTTTCAGGGGGTATAAAGCCACATGTTTCGTAAATAAATTCAATACCACGAAAATATACATCACCCCTCCGCGACTGCGGATTAATGGCCCAAAAATATCCATGGCAATGATATCCTTCACTCCCTCTGGTATTATCTGCATTTGTGCAGGTTTTGGCAAACTACAAATTTTTGTCTTTTGACAAATTTCACAATTTCTAAGCCTCCGTTTAACCGATCGATGCATGTTCGCCCACCACAATTCTGTTTTCAACGCAGACCAAGTTTTATAAATGCCAAAGTGGCCAAAAACATCATGATACTTGTCAATGAAATCCGAAATAAGATGACGAGGAACACACAACAAATAATCTCCATCGGTAGTTCCATTTTTGAATAATACTTCATCAGATATTGTAAAAAGAGTTTGAAGTTTGGGATCCCTTGGCAATTTTTCCTTAATTTCCTGAAGTTTACTGTCTTGGTCCTGACTATGCCCAAAGTTATCTATCAAAGTGTGGAATTCTTTCGGTAATTTTAATGTGGTCAGTAACTGAAAACATTTATCCGTCGGCACCGGAAATCTAGCACAAGCGCACCTACTCAAGGCATCGGCTTGTAAATTTTCTCTTCCAGGGACAAAAATAACCTCAAAACGATATTCCTGTAATATCAAAGTCCAACGAGAAATTCGATCTGACAATAGCCTACATCGATAGTGATATAAAAGGGCATCATCCTGCAACAGAGACTTGAGTTTCTGGAAAGCCTGGTCATGCTCAGCAGTCCATCTCCAGGCAGTCGTTTTTCGCAGCAAATTTGTCAAAGGCACTGACAAATGTGCAAAATCTTTTGAGAACATCCTGTCATATTGACATAACCCTAAAAAACCCTGAAGCTGTTTAACATTCGTTGGCTTCGCATAATCCTGAAGGGCCTGGATGCGTTCGGGATTTGGCCTAATTCCGTCGCCGTTGACGATATACCCCAAGTACGATATTTCCTGTTGAACAAATCGACACTTACTAAGTTTGACAGTAAGTCCAGCTTCCCGGAGCCTGCCGAAAACCCTAGTGAGATGTACCACCTGATCTTCGAAGCTAGCACTCATCACCAAAAGATCGTCCAAGTAGGCCACCAAAAATTCCTGATAAGCTGGTCCAAAAATGGTATCAATAGCTCGACTGAATGCGCTAACAGCTGTCTGAATGCCAAACGGTAAAACACAAAAACGATAGGTTTTATTATCCACCATAAAACCTGTGTACTGTCGGTCTTCCTTGCGCAAACCAATCTGCCAATAACCATGCGATAAATCGATGCTCGATAAGAATTTTTTTCCAGCCATCAACCTAACTATTTCCGAAATAGGCCTCGGTAATTCGAAATCTGGTTCCATTACAGAATTTAGCCTACGAGCGTCCAAGCAAACTCGTACACTCCCGTCCTTTTTAAGGGTAGTCATCAGTGGGGAGATATATTTTGAGGGAGCACGCTCTATTATGCCCCACTCTTCCATTTGCATTAAAGTTTTCTGTACCGCATCTCTATGTGCTACAGGTATAGGATACGGCTTTACGAAAAATGGCGTATTATCAACTAATTTGATAGAATGGGTATACATATAAGTTCTACCCGGTTTGTCTGAGAAAATCGATGAATATTCTAATAATAATTTCTCGAAAATAGCTTTATAATTTTTTGACAAGTTATTTTTCAAAATAATTGATCGAAATAAGTTATTCTGAATGTTCGGACACCCTGTATAGCAAATATCCGAACTATTTTCACTTTTGACATTGATATCACAAACGCTCAAAAATTTGCAATGTATGCCTGGACTATCACCAACATTTAACATCGGTAAAAAATTACTGTTTTTATTCACTAACGCAGATATATTCAACGAGGCTGGACATTCGTGAATATCTGAAATTTCAGGTACAACAAAAAACTCGCCATTTATTTTTATTACTAGATGTTTCTCGGACAAGTTTATATTCACATGGAAAAAACGTAGAAAGTCGCATCCTAGAATAATGGGATATGTTAAATCTGAAATTACCAGAAATTCATGACTGATCTTTTTTTCATTTATAGAAAAAGGAATATCAGCTTGTAAAGTTACTTTTTTAAACTTAGTTTTGAATGCGCCCACAACTCGTATACCTGTACATTCAAAATGTGGAATATCACTATGAAAATTGGAAAATTGATTCCACACATCTTCCGAAATAGCAGATATTTGACTCCCAGTGTCCACTAGGGCCAAAAACCAAAAATCAAAAAATTTCACACATATTCTGGGTGAACGATCATCAAGGATTTCGTGATCAAAATTACATTCCTCTGTCATTTCTTCCATAGGGTTATTTTTTATTATTACTGTCGCCCCATTTCGCCCTACCTCCAAATCGGAGCTTATTCTTGAAGGCTTGGCTCGTTTTCCGAAAAATCATTGTCTAGTTCCAATTTAGATATATTTTGAGGATTTCTACTGTAGTTTTTATTAAAATTTTGGGATCTATTCATCTGATTACTTTGAAATTTTTTTGTATCCTGGCACGAACTACCACTATTTTGCACTGCGGAATTATTGCAAAAATTGTCGGCTTGCCGGAGCCTGTTCAGTGCTTGTGATAGATCATTGACTCCCACAAGT